CAGCCAACAGGAAGTGGGAGTGTGGTTCCAGAGGTGGTGGAGGAGGCGGGGAAGGGCAGAGGCCGGCTGAGCAATCAGAAGAGGATCCAGGCCCATCCCCTATCCATCCTAGGGCACGCAGAGAAGAGAGGATCAGGGAAAAGCGAGGTCTACTCAGGAGGAGATTACCATGATCCTCCTCAGGGCTTGCAGCTGGGAGCTATGTATATAAGTTTGTAACTGCGTAGTCAGAATTGCTGGAGTCAAAGTTTAGTGTTTCCTTTGAAAGAGGTTTATCTTTGTTGGCATTCTTCCCATGGACTCTCCCCGTTATCTTCCTGGAATGTATGATTAATTATCTTGGCTTGCTTTGGAACTCTCGTCAATGTGGTTTGTTTTGGTTTCCTTTTGCCTCATTATTTACTTTTGTGACTTTAAACTGTGCTTAATAAAACAGTGAAGTTCAGTTGAAGGCATTACCGGACTTTAATGTATGTTTTGGGTTATTTTGAGAGACTACGGGTCCTCACATTTTTGACTTAGCCAAGCTAAGATCTTTATGAAATTGGACTTGCGTGGGGCCTACAATCTGGTTCACATTCATGCATGGGACGAGTGGAAAACAGCTTTCCAGATGAGGTACTGTCATTTTGAGTATATCGTGATGCCTTTTGGATTAACCAATGCCCCAGCTGTGTTCATGCATTTCATTCACGATGTTTTCCGTGATTTGTTGGATCAATTCATGGTCATTTATTTAGATGACATTTTAATTTACTCAGACTCCCTGCAGGAATACTGGTAACATGCGTGGCTGGTGTTGCAACGTTTGTGTGATAACCACCTGTTTGCTAAGCGTGAGAAGTCTCAGTTTGCACAAACCACAATTGACTTCTTGGGACATCATATTTCACCTGCCGGGGTTGAAATGGACCCGGAAAAAATACAATTGTTGCAGGCGTGGGAACCTCCACAGAGGGTTAAGGATGTGCAACAACTGTTGGGGTTTGCGAACTACTACCACACATTTATTCCCTGCTTTGCTGCCTTGATTGCTCCCCTTTCTAATCTGCTCAAGAAGAGGGAGAAGTTCTATTGGGGTACTGAGGAGCAGGCAGCTTTCGAGGCATTGAAAGTCGCCTTTGCTTCCGAGCCTGTCCTCAAACACCCTGATCCAGGCCAGCCATTTGTGATGGAAACAGATGCTTCTGATGTGGCTGCTGGTGCGGTGCTCCTCCAGGCCTGTGCTTCCGCAGGCACCTTTTTTCCGTGCGGTTATTATTCCCGGAAGTTGTCTTGCACCGCTCTCCCACCCCTCGCTGCCTCTCCCAACATCGAAGCCTCGGAGTCTCAGGTAAAGCTGCTGCAGCAGTAGCATCCTGAGTTGCCTTAGCATGCTTGGTTAGTTAAGAATCACCCTACCCAGAGAAGGAAGTGGTGCTGGAGGAGGAGGCATTAGTGGAGAAGCAAGCAACTCAGGGCGCTACTGCTGTGGTGGCTTTGCCTGTGTTTCCGAGGCTTCGATGTTGGGAGAAGCAGCAAGGGCTGAAAAAAAGAAAAGCTGTGCACGACTCCATTTCCCTTTCCTTTCCTGCCTGCATGTGGGCGGGGGGCAGGAAAGAGAGAGCCGGGAGCAATTCAAAACTAGAAAACTAATGGGGAAAGCTGGCACCGGGTGCTGGGGGAGGGGACCGTTGTTGCCACCACCGCCGTGTGTGGGAGCATGCACCTGAGCCGGGAAGCACAGGAACTGCAAGTGGGAGCGTTTGATGATTTCAAAGAACTCTTGGAACACGGTAGATTGGCATTTTGTAGGTCTCCACGAAAGAGTGAGTTTTGTTTTACCTCCTTTCCTCCTCGGGTAATGTAAGAAACGCTTTCTCTCTCTCTCTCTCTTTCCTCCCTCCCCCGCGTGGCTGAGTTTGGCAGCGAAGTGCTAAAGCGAGCGAAGTGCCCCCGGAACACCTTTCTGTGCCTGTCTCCAGGTGAGGCTGGAAGAGCCCCCCCCCCAGCTTTTCCTCAGCTGCAGATCTGAGCCTTTCAATCCTCCACCCGGGATCTGAAAGGATCTTTCTCCCCCTTCCCTTCCCCAATTAATAAGGGCAGCAGTCCTTGTGCAGGCAGATGCCTGCTGAGAAGTCCCTGGAGTGGCAGCCAAGGGGCACTGCCTCCCAAGGAGAACAAAGCCCCCTTTCTGCCTCTGCTTCTCCCAGCGGCAGTTGCCCCAGACCCCTCAGCTCAGACACTTGTCCAGTGTATGTGGCAGGGCATCATGCACAGGGGACTTCATATATGCCTTGGTTTTCCAGGTCAATTTTATCTTCGGGGTTTCTTAGGATGGCTGCTATTTTCTGTCTGTTTTGAAGGCAGTCTTGATGTGATGCCTGTGTAGTATCTTACTGATTTTGTCTGTAGTACCTCTTATGTAGTGCAGGACAGCTGTTCCATAGGTCTGTTCATCTTCACAAAACAGACAGAAAAATAGCAGCCATCCTAAGAAACCCCAAAGATAAAATTGACCTGGAAAACCTAGGCATATATGAAGTCATCATGAAGTCATATGAAGTGCATCATGCCCTGAGATTCTGCCGAAACGTTGTTACAACTTTAAAAGCACAACTATAATGACGTGGGAAAATACCCAAACAAAGCTGAATACCATACATGTAAATACCCGCGAAAACTTAAGAAAATATATATATGTTTAAGTTTTCTTAAGTTTTCGGGGGTATTTACATGTATGGCAGAATCTCATCTGCCACAGACGAACACAATACAGAAGCCTGATGATGGCAGATGAGATTCTACCGAAATGTTGCTACAACTTTAAAAGCACAACTATAATGACGTAGGAAAATACCCGAACAAAGCTGAATACTATATATATAGTTTTCTTAAGTTTTCGCAGGTACTTACATGTATGGGATTTAGCTTTGTATACATATACATATATAAAATTTATATTTAACATAAAAATTATATTAAACATATTAGCTTTTTAAAAAATTCATATTAGTAGTCTCCTCGGGATTTAAAAATATGAGTTTGGTGGTCCCTGAGATCCAAAAGGTTGGCAACCCCTGATTTAGTTGGTGAAGATCTGAACCTTGCCATAAGATTATCGTTTGCTGTATTGATCACATCTGACCTGTGTTGCCAAATAACCTCACCTAGCGGTTACAAGTAGACATTGAATAACACCAGCCATTACTTTTCTAATGAAGTAATTCAGTGAAAGGAGTACATTTTTTTCTCTTCTGGCTATAACTGAACTGCTCTATATGGATTTGAGCCATTGGTAGTCAAGAGTTTTTAAAAATTAATTAAGTTTGTAATTGATTTTTCTGAAGGTTGCAGTATATTTTCATGAGTGAAAATTATATTTTGGCTCAATGGAACATTTTCATTGCTTATATATTTATGGATCCATGGCCTTATGAACTGAAGATACATACCTTTTCTGGAAAAAGATGAAAGATGTGTCTTAGAAAATTGTGACATCTGCTCTGTTAAATGCCATAAAAGATCTGTGTTATTTTTATTTTTTGTTGAATCTGACCAGTTGAACATGTGAAATAACATTGTATTCACCATAATTACTTCTATGACTTAACTTTTTTTTACTTTGGGGGTTTATTATGAGGTGAAATTAATTGCTCCTAGTATGTGTCCACTAGATGTCACCAGTTAGCCTATTGTAACTAGGTAAATAATAAGTAATAACAGTGTGACTCTTAATAACTTTTAAAGCTTAGTAATAGTTTTTGTACTTTTGCAGAAAGTACATTCATTATGTCACTAATACTTGGGCTGAACATTTTGATGTGAATTAACTGCATTATGTCTGAATAAACATTGATAATAGCTTCATAAAAGTTTTTAGATCTGTTTGGGAAGTGGAAATTATATAGAATTTCAATTATTTTTTAATGTTGCTTTCATTTTATACAAAAATTTTCTGAATTTGTTATCATTTGCATCTGTAATCAACTTTCAGTAATATTAATTGCAGTAATCCTCAAATTAATATGTAACATACCATCCTAGGAGAAATTTTGTGGCCCAAATCTTTCATAAGAGGTTTATTTATTAAGTATTAAATACATAGGCCAGAGGCTATGTGTATTCTAAAATACACGCAAATTCTTTTCTAAGGATTTGTCTTTTTCTGCCCTTATGTGTTTGGTAGCTTCTTTACATCTGTTCATAAATTACCCAAAATCATAGTTGCAAACTTTTCCTATGAGCCTTAAACAAAACTGACTGTTTTTGTATTTATGGTAATTATTTCTTGAGCTTAGAGGACTATCATAATTAGAGGATTATGATTAATTATGTGTACTGAGATATGCATAGGAAAAATACATAGCAGAAACAGTTGAATTTAACTGATGTGCTGTGTTAATTGTTTTGAAAATATACTAAATTAATTGATCAGTGTTCATTGTTTGAAATATATTTTGGGGAAATGCATTAAAAAGGACAGATGTTGAGAAGAAAATAAAAGTGTATTGTGTGATAGAAACTTTGGTATTAAAAGTATACTTTACTAGTATCAAAATATTGTACTAAAATTGTTGATTGTGAAAAAAACTGCTACGGGTCTCAGCTATTTAATTCTTCTTTTCTCCTCTCACTCACCCCACACTTTTCTAGTTTCAACAACTCCATCAAGTGATCTGAATTCAGAGTAGTCAAACTCTCTTCTAAAAATGTTACAGAATTCTTGGATAACTGAGGGATGAGTTTTCCTTCTCTTTATATAAATAAATAGTAGGCAGTTTAAGGATTTTGTATCTCAGCTCCCAATGTTAGTTACAAATAAGGGGATAAGTATTCAGTTGATTGTGGATGCTTATAAATAATTATCATCCTTTCATTTAATCTTCAGCAGGACTTCAGCCAGAATGCATCATGCTTGAGTTTTTAGCGATTGTTCGTTTCAAATGTTGAAAAGAACCCTGAGAAAGAAAAGGCATAATAGTTTTGTAAATTGATCTAGCTCTGTATTTTGTTCCTAGACAGCGGCTGTTCCAGGCAGTTTTGGATTCTCCATCAATTTCTTCTCCAACTCTGTTACCTAAGAAAGCTCCCCCCCAAGACCACATTTTGAACTCTCCAGACGGATTTTTTTTAAATCAGAAAAAGCATTGTGCAGATACCTTTCAAGTCAACGAAAAGAGACATTTAATATCAGCTGACAAAGACAAAAATATTAAAATAAAGCAAGAGGAGAATCCCTGTAGCTCAGAACTTTGTTCTGAGGCAGGTGGTAAAGTAGCAAATACAGCTCCCACTGGAGGTATCAAAAACTCTGAAATGCCTTCCACATCTGCAACAAAATTTGTTACAAAAGGTAAGGCATCTTGCTGTACACATCACAATTGCACATTCACTTTACCATACTCTGCTAGTTTATGTTAAATATTTGGTTCCTATTATTTTCATCTTTATATCAATATACCAGTTTATTTTTGTCATACTGTTGCTTCTACACATGTTAACTGTGGGTATTTTTATGTTAGCTTAGATGTTCACTGCTGCATACAATAAGCTTCTCTTCAGTGGGCACATGAAACATTTGAGCCATGTTTCTCAATCTTGGGAACTTTAAGATATGTTGGACTTGAACTCCCAGAATTCCTGAGCCACTCTAGAATGCTGAATGGGGATTTCTGGGAATCGAAGTCTACACATCTTAAAGTTCACAAGGTTAAACTAGAAGAATATTAGTTTAAGAATATTTCTCTAGATTTCTTACTTCCATATATAAAGTAAATAGTCACTAATATGTCAATTATAAATGAAATTTGTTTGCTTATTTATTTCACTTCTGACCAGTTAGATGAAAGGACTTCAGAATATGTACTATAGGCTAAGTAACAAAAAAAAATTAAAAAAAAATTAAAACATTACATATTGATTATTGATGATGTTCCATCAAGTTTTCAATTCTTAATGACCAAATAGATTTTCTCCATCTGTCCCTAATCTAATCTTCCAAAGTTAAAACAAAAACAGTACATCAGCAGTACCATCAGTTAAAATGCATAAAGCTATTTCCCCTCAAAACATATGACCAATATAATTTGTCATAGGAGCATTTTATCTATCCATCCTTCTACTGTGATTGTATGGAAATTAGTTTTAATTGCGTATAAAACATATACAAATAAAAATGATTTTTATCATTTTATTGAGATAAAATAGAAGATGAAATTTTTCAATATTTTCATAATTTCTTCTATCTACTGTAAGTCCTGTACCCCGAATATAGTTGTCTAGAAAAACCTGTTGGAGAAGCCAAGCATATGTTAGGTGATTATTTGATATTTTTCCCACAATTTAAGATGAACTTATCAAAAATAGTTGATTGGTGGGAAGTTGTAAACCTGCCAGATGATAAAGAATTTAAACAATAAAGTTTTATAACATTTTTAATATGTTGCTTTTTTCTGGCAGTGGTTCATTGTTTGTGGAGCCTTTCATCATCTATATGTGTGTAGCAGGGGTGTCAAACTGATGTTGCCACGGCGTCACATGATATATTGTGACTTTTTTCTCCTTTGCTAAACCGGTGCATGTGACACATCTGGCCCATGAGTTTGACAGCCCTGCTGTATAGGATGATCTTTTGGGATGTTTTCAGATATAATGGTAAACCTTGGCTTCTCTGGGTTTCTTCCCTTTTTTGGAAGCATGATAAGAACAAAGAAGCCTTTTATATTTGATTAGTTTTCTTCCTCCCTCTCATGATCTTTTCCCATTTCTAAATGTTAATGGAGAACCCCCAAAGAGCTTTTGCTTGTATGGGTTATATATATCACTATTTATCAACATTAAAAATTGAAATTGATGCATTAACTCTTCTCATGATTGTGTAATGGGATTTTAATATTGTATTATTTTTTAACATAAGCTGGAAAATAATTTTGTTTTTTGGGGGATTCCCAGGGGTTTTAGGACCACACTTCAAGAAACATTTCTTTAGATGAATTGCAGTTTTATCTATTATAGATAAAGGTTTCCAAGTGATGAAATCCATTCAAAAAGAAAAAAAAACAAAGTCCATCTTCCAAAACAATTTATTTTATTTAGGAAAGCATCAAATTGGCAAAGTCTCTTGTAATTCCGGATCTGATACAACCCGGAATTACACCACATACACCCCAAAAGTCACATTCCCCAATAGAAGTAAATCACAATTGCCTGATGTCATCTATTTCCACTCCAGGTCTCAGCAGGGTCAATTTCTATTCCCATGGGAAGGAAAAATCACCTAGCCTAAACAACCCTCTCTATCTCTACTCCTCCCACCTTAGGTATGTGGCAAGCCTGAACACCCCCCACACCCCCCAGCAGCAAAGAGAAAGAAAGAAAAATCATATAATATATGGCTAAATAAAATGGCTATGCATATATCAGTTTTGGGCTTGACATTATACAGATTTTAGTGCTATGATTTAGCTATATATAAGAAAAAGAAAGTTTTCATTATCTTGATTTGACATCATGGGTGTCTCGGGGTGGTGGTGGCAAATGATGGCCTACTTGAGTCAGATGTTGTGACATGATTGATATAAATTACATAATTGTTTGATGGGTCAATGCATGTGTTATTTGATATCAGGATAGCATGTTACACATGCCGCTGTTTGACATTGGTACATTTCAATTTGTAGTTTGTTCATAGTGCAAAATGTAATTTTTGTAAAGCAGGAAGAAGAGCTTTCTTTATTCTGACTGCATGAGCATGGAGAGATTGCATAAATTACCACCTGAATGTACACACATAGCTATTAATTTAGCTGGATTTTTAAACGAGTTGTATAAATCCATCCATCTGCAACTAGTAGCCATGATGACTAAATGACTTTATAATTCTGATTTCAACATTCTAGGAACAAATAATTAGGGGTGATCATCACCTTTAAGACCCAGTTGTGAGCTTTTATTTATTTCATCTTCTTTTGAATGTTAAAAAAAGAAATAATATCATTGGAAAAAAGCAATACAGTACTATAATTTTGTATTAAAAATCTCAGTGAAAATTGATAAACATCTAGTTGAATGAAGTTGTTACTTGGCTGGCCTTGTTCCCAAGCAATAGGAAATTATATTTTAAATTATTTATGATATAATTTTTACATTCATCATACTCATACTCTATTCTACTCTACTCATCTTAAAATATTGAAATTTCTATTTTAGAATAGAACAGAATAGAATTCTTTATTGGCCAAGTGTGATTGGACACACAAGGAATTTGTCTTTGGTAAATATTACTATTACTCCTCCCATCCTTCCTTTCACCCATCTCCTCCCACCAGGGGTGGGATGCTACCAGTTTTGCCCAGCTCTATAGAACCAGTAGCTCTGAAGAGCAGCAGACACCAAACCAGTTCTGTGTTTGCTGCTGTTTGGCCCATCCGCCTGCCTGGGCTCTTACCTGTCCTTTATTTCCTGCTTTTTCAACCTCAGCTGCTTTGCGCGCCACAGCTGAGGTTGAAAAAGCAGGGAAAAAGAGGCTTTCCAAATGCTGCGCACTTGTGCACAGTGCTTTTCAGCTGTCTGTGTGGCACAGCTAAAGGTTTTTCTACACCTTTATGCGCTCACAAAATGTAGTCAATGAACTGGTAGTAACACTGGTTGAATCCCACTACTCTCCCACTTATGGCTGTGTGACTGTAACTTTGTTGCTTGTATCCTAACGATTTATATTGACTGTTTCCTAGTATGATTTGATTGCTTATTGTACCCTGTGACTATTATTAAGTGTTGTACCTTATGATTCTTGACTCTTGATGAATGTATCTTTTTATGTACACTGAGAGCATATGTACCAAGGACAAATTCCTTGTGTGTCCAATCACACTTGGCCAATAAAGAATTCTATTTAATTTTATTTAATATAATCATATGCTCTCAGTGTACATAAAGGAAAAAAACATTTATCAAGAATCATAAGATACAACACTTATTGATAGTCATAGGTTACTAATAAGCAATCAAATCATACTAGGAAACAAATAAAACAAAATAAATTGTAAAGATACAAGCAACACGGTTATAGTCATAAATGGGAAGAGATAGGTACTAGGAAGTGTAATTATAATCTAGTAGTAGAGGAGTAATAGTAATACAGTTTTAGTAAATAAGTTGACAGTGTTGTGGGAATTAGTTGTTTAGCATAGTGATGGCATTCGGGAAAAAACTGCCCTTGTGTCTAGTTGTTCTGGTGTGCAGTGCCCTAAAGCGTCATTTGAGAGTAGAAGTTGAAACAATTTATGTCCAGGATGTTAGGGTTAGTTTAATTATTACTTATGTATGGAAAGGTAACACTGTGAATTTTTCCTCATCCTGCATTGCAAGTTGAATCATAGATATAAAATGCAATGATAGCTTTAATATACTTGCTTTTATCTTATATTAATCCATTTTATCTTGCATCTTTGCTAATTTGATTTGGAATACCATGTTTGCTCCAGCAATGTTATTGCTCAGATGGAGTTGACATTGAAATTTTGCTGACTTATGAGTGCAAGTATGTGGAAACAGGGAATAAAGCTATACATGAAAGAAAAAAAATCTGCATTTCATTTTCTACTGCTTCATAATAAAAAAAATGAATGGGGTAGTAATCGTGCCAGCTGCAAGAATAGCAATTTCAGTCTTAGTTTTATTTTTACTGAGAATCAAGAAAACGATTTCACTTTGTTGGCAGAAATCTATTTGCATTGTTCTTTTTAGTAATACATAACAATCTACAGGGAAACTGTTCATACTAGCTTCATTATAAAAATTGGGTCATGTCTTTTTTGGAAGATGCTGGCTTCATTAGCATTTGATGATGAACTTTGAAATTATATAAATCCAAACCTAGTGTCTTCTGGATATGTTCGACTGTAACTTCTGTTACCACTTCTGGAGGGCACTGGCTTGAGAAGAATCCATCTAGATTTCTGCACACTATATAACAGCAAATATCCCCTCCTCCCCAATGAAAGTTCTTGTAAATTAATTTATAATCTGATATGCTCTTTTTTAAATGTTTCAGTGGAGTGTCCTGTCTGTGGGGTTCCTGTTCAAGAACTACATATAAATAACCACCTTGATAGTTGCCTGACAAGAGATGAGAAGAAAGACAGTCTCCGAAGGTAAGGTTCCTGAGTGTATGAGTTCTAATAAATGCTATCCATACTTAATTTTAGCAAGAAAACAGTGTCAGATTGGATCAGTCTTTCTTGTTTTATCCAATAGCCTTTGAATAATGGTTTTAGGTATAAAAACAATATTAGAAGTTCCCAGAAGATGGGCTCCAGCATTAATCCGAAAGTTCAAAAGACAAAGTCTGATGTTGATGACTGACCCAGATTGGATCCTAAAACAATATTAGTACATTGGCTATCATCAATAAAGTAACAATTTATTCAGATTTGTTTGGATTTATTGGACAAATGTGAGTCCTTCCCTCTGGAGAATAGCTGAATGTTAGGGTCTTTTTTCCAGTAGATTATTTTTCATTGCTACACCTCCGTGAAGGAGGCAGCTAAACCCATTCACTTTCTTTTAGTCCTTTGTAGATGTTGTTTTTGTTTCATCTAGAGGTTTGATGTTATATCTATAATATCCTCCAAATATGATTATGGAGTAATTATTCATCCTGTGCATAGCAGAATGGTACAGGTGAATCTTTGGAAGAACGTGATTGGCATATATTTATTTCTCTCACAATCTTAGTAATCAATACAGATATAAATGAAATATAGTACAAGGGGCCTAGCAGGTCGCATAATATTGCTGCAAAGCTTCCTTAAATACATCCCAAAAAGATACAGTTAGTTGAATGGGGAGAACAGATTGTTTCAAATTTTCATATTTGCTGGGGCTGTACATTAGAACATGAACTCAGGAAAAGGGCTGCTGGTTCCAGTCTGGTAATTCTTTGCATTTGATTTCAAATAGCTCCTAAATCATTCTCAGTTTAATGTTCCTAAGCTTATAAATAAGAATAGTAATTTAGTAAGTTACTGCATAGAGCCGTCTTTCCTAACTGATCTGTTACAGAATGCTCGTGTTTCATAAGAGATCGTTAAAGGTTCCGCAAGAAAAAAACTTTTCATGCTCTGCAATGCTAGAACGTGCAATGTTAAGAATTTTCATGTGATATGAGTGATCTGATCTGCTCACTGGCAACTTTGCTACTGTAAAATATGGATTTTGTAGGTTAGAAGCAAATTGTATTGTGAAGTTTTAATCATTTTTGTGATTTTATACAAGGGTTCTCTAAAACCGGTGAATTATTTCAGGGGCTATTCCATGATATAAATGTTGAGAAAAGCCGGTCTAGAGCAACAAATATATATGGAACATAACTGTCAGTAATCCAAGCAACTGCCTAAATAGTAGTAGATAGATGTACACTTAATCAGCAAGCTCAAAAAGCAAGGGTTTCTTTATTTTAAAAAAGAAATGTTTTCGCATCAGTGTTTCAGTTCTTTGTATTTTTGATCAAAATCCAATCAAATGTAGATGATTCCCCCCCCCCCCCCCCCCATTGTGATGTGTCTACATTCTTTATACTTTAAATCTCTCTCTTAATGTTTACCTAAGAGCTAAGGGCTGTTCTACTTCGATTGTCCTTCATGTTTATCCATAATACAGGCAGGGCTATCTTTAATGCATTTTTCTGGTTTGTTTTTAAAAAAATAAGATTAGTGATCTTAGGTAGGTCAATTCTTATTATTATGCCTTTTGTTGTAAACTGCAGAGGAATTATTTTTTCCCCTTCTAGTGGATCTCTTCTAAGGATTCCCCCAATAAACAGAAAAAAGAAAGAAAAAGAAAGACAATGAATTCATAGGACATTATCAATTAAACTGAACATCTTGACATAGTATACTATCTTGGTCTGCTCATGACACTACCAAGACACTGAGGAGACATTTCTAGACTAGGGATGCACATAACAGAACTCAAGCTATTGTTCTCCCAATAAGCAGAAACAAAATCCCAAACATTTTGTGCTTTGGAAGAAACAGATTCAAAAGAAGTTCTTGAGTTGCAAAAACATGAGTTGTCAGTAGAGCCCTGGAAAGACACAATATCCAATCTTAACTGGTAAAATAGAGTAGAACACCTAAAACATTTTGTCTAAAACAACTGAATTTCAGCTTGCACCTGGAATAAAAAACACATATAATTCATAAGATACCAACTGCTGTGTCCCCAGATTTTGACATGAACAACGTTGTACATCCCTAAATCAGGCATATGTAGACATTTTGCCCAATCAAACATGTTTCATCTCCGATATGAGAACTCTCAATAGCAAATAAAAAAATTACTTGAAGGCTGAGACATTTTCTTAACACTATAATACTACATTGAAAATTGTACGGTGGATGTACAATTTTAATTGAATAGGAAATTTTAAGAAAAAAATTAGGTCAGAAAAACATACTTGGGAAGAAAAGATAGGCTGCAGTCTGTTTTGGCTTTACTTATTATGATTTTTATGAAGATATTATAATTTATTATACTTGAATTATAAATTCATGCTATTGTAAAGTTATTTTGGGCTGTAAAAGATAAAATAGTCCAGTTCTGGATTACACCAGTATTCTTTATTTTTGTATCAATTTCTCCTCCTCTTTTTTAAAAAAATGAAAATGTGAGCAGGATTATGTGAAGAGACTGACTAAAATTAAATTCTACTGATTAGAATGGAGTATCAGCATTGAATTCTTGCCATACAGAGAGCTTTGCTAGAATTTAAGTAGGCCCACAAAATCATGAATGGAGTTTAGTTGTGAATGATTTTTTTTCTGTCTTATGGGATAAAATTTGGAGGACTCCCACTGAAATTTAAATAGACAGTATAAAAACTGAAGTGTTGAAGATTTCTTTTGTGATTGAACTCTGCAAATTGTTTGTGGAGCCTGTTCTTGTTGCTAGGAAACACTATCTGCAGTGTCCACTAAAAATTACATTGTGTGCCTGTGGCAGAAGAGTGATTCATGACTATTAGCAATAATAAATGCGAGTTAAAAAGGGATTAGATAAGTTTTTGTAGTTAAAAAGGGATTAGATAAGTTTTTGTAGTACATGATACCCTAGTGCCAAATTGCCAGGTAAGTTTGGGAATGCAATCACATATTGTTAATAACCTTCTCTTTTACATATCATACTAGGATATAATTGAATGCAACGTTTGCAACTACCGTCTTTCCCCAAAAATATGACCTGTCATCTTTTTTTGCCACCAAAAAAGGCATCATTATTATTTTCAGATGAAAGGAGCATTGGTGAAACATCATTTACTTTCCTTAATTGCCAATGCTATCTTGGGAAAAAGCCCATATCTACATTTATGGTTGATTGGAAACACCTTATAGATTGTTTGCATGAAACAGAACAAAATGCATTTATGATTTGTGATTTTGATGATTAGAAAAAACTGGATAATAGAAAAGAGTGTTTTTTTATAATGATAGTAAGATAACTTTGTAATTATACTTACATTTACTGCAAAAGAAATTGGAAGCTTTTTGTTCTTTCTGCACTTTGCTTTTTTTAAACTCAAATAGTTTGCATTAGTTTTTGTGCTCTTTGTAAAACTTTTAATAGAAAAATTAATTGCCAGTGCCATCCAAAACTCCATGAATAGGCAGAAATAAATTCTACTCATCTTTCCGCAGCTTAGTAGTCAGGCACAATACAGGTTATGTAGACAGTAAGCACAGTGTCAGACATAAAATCTCAAGTGCCTATATACAAATGAACAAAGTCTGGGGAACAAACAGGGTGAACTTGAACTACGAATACATGAAGGTAAATATGATATAGTTGGAATAACAGAAACTTTGTGGGAGGAAACCCATGACTGGAACGTACTGGTAGAAAGATACTATTCAAAAAAACAACAACAACCCAGCCCCATAAAAGAGGAGGTGGAGTTGTAAAGGACCACTATATTTCTACAGAAATGCATGAAACCAAAGATGAAAACCTAGAATGCATATGGGTCAATATAAAAGAAAAAAAGAATGACATGGCCATAGGTGTATATTATAGGCCACCCAATCAAGCAGAAAAAATAGATGTCCTTTTTGCCAGCCAACTAACAAACATATGCAGGAAACACACAACAACAGTAATGGGAGACTTCAATTATCCTGATATCAATTGGAAAACTAATTCTGCACCAAGTGAGAAATCAAATAAGTTCCTAACCAACCTAGCTGACAACTTTGTTGTCCAAAAGGTAGAGGGTGAAACTAGAGGGACAGCCATACTGGACTTAATTCTTACAAACAGAGAAGAAGTGATAGAGGGAGTTGAAACTGCAGGAACCTTGGGTGAGAGTGACTGTGTCATACTAGAATTCAACATAACACAAACACCAGAGCCTTGGATTTTAAAAGAGCTGATTTCAATAAACTCAGAGAGAACTTGGGAAAGATTCCATGGATGAAAATCCTAAAGGGGAAAATAACTCAAGAATCTTGGGAAACTCTAAAAAGTATGATTATAGGAGCCCAGACCAGCACAATACCACTGAGAAAGAAAAACAAGAAATCCAAGAAGAAACCAGCATGGCTGCACAAATATCTCTCTGGCAAATTGAAAGAAAGAAAGAACAAGTACAAAAAATGGAAAGAAGGACATACAACTAAGGCAGAATATCAGCAGATAGCCAGAATCTGCAAAGATGAAGTCAGGATAGAAAAGGCTGAGAACGAACAAAGACTTGCAACAAAAGTCAAAGATAATAAAAAAAGTTTCTTCATATAAATAAGAAGAAAAAAATCAAGGAAACAGACGGTCCACTAAAGAGAGAAGATGGCAAGGAAATAACAGGCAACAGAGAGAAAGCAGAACTGCTTAACTCATTCTTTGCATCTGTCTTCACGCAAAAAAAAACTATAGCTCAACCCACCAAAAACATAACTGTAAAAGACAGACCAGAAATAAAAGTTAAAATAAGCAAAAAAATAATAAGAGAACACCTGTCTGATCTTGATGAAAACAAATCACCAGGGCCTGATGGATTACATCCCAGAGTTTTAAAGGCGATGGCAGAGGTCATCTCAGAACCACTGCACCATATTTTTCAAAACTCCTGGAGCACCGGGGAACTACCAGAGGACTGGAA